ATCCTGACCGGTGGAGCCGCCGCCATAAAGCTGGAACAGAGTGATGAGCATAAAATAGTGGTATGAAGTATGATTCGGAAGTTATTGCATGTAGGAACAGCTAAAACACTCAAAGGACAAAAGATAAATGGATTTATTCACGCTATCACATACATAACAACTTTGAAATAATTTAACCCAAGTGAAACCGGTAACTATGACAAGTGAATTCTCTGTATTTAACAACTCCACAGACCAGGAAATAAGGCAGATTGCGAAGGTAAGTAGATGGAATTAACCAATTACATAGCAAATATGAGCTACTGAGCTTGTTTAGCCGATTTCAAAGGCTTCACTCCTTTGTGTATTGCGCAAATGCCACAGGAAAGATTCTCATAACACACCATATCGAAACCTGCGTCACGTATCATTGCTGCGAAATCTTCCTGTAACACGCATACAATGGCATAAGATAGAGCGAAGTTGGAAACCGAATCTTACCTGACATGGAAACTTGCGGATACTCTCGACGAGGTACTTGTAGCTGTCGTAATCACCTGCCAGCACCTAAACAAGCGCGAAATCCACAAACTTTCCAGCCCAGTGAGGCTTATTGTTAGCAAAAACCGCAATGAGGGGGTCAAGCCATGTTCTCAGCTTTTTTGGAAAAAGTAAAAAGGAAGAAATTTTGCGGAAATGATATGCAAAGGTAAAACAAATCAATTTAACCTTCATGAAGAAGGTGAAAAGTTCATAACAAAATCAAAGTAGCAGTCTCCAAGGCTGATGTTCAGAAGTACTTGACTATCTATCAAGTAGCGCGAAAGCAAATAAGGTAAAAAAGCAGTTCGATGGTTATCAAAACTAAAACGCGCACAATATACATTCAACATAAACATTAGAACATACCTGTCCCATGACCGGAATGACATTGAAGGAGTATGCATCATACAACGGGCGAAGTATGGGATTGATTGCACTGAATTCCAAAACAGCAAGATGACCACCAGGCTTCAAAACTCGAAACGCTTCAGCAACAACCTATATAAACGATGATTAGTCCGATATTGTAACAAACTGCTGAGGAGAG